CACACGACCCAGACGAGCTACTCAGGGCTCTGTCCCGTGCACCGCCCCGCCCCGACTGTGTCACCTGCCCCTGCCCCACTCCCTTCCTCATCACAGGGCCTTGATCTGCCATCCAAACATCCCTTCCCCACACCAGACTTACCAGCCTGACGTTGGTCTCTAAGCAGCCTGGCTGCATATCGGCATCAGACTGGTATTGGCTGATATGGTATCGTAAAAAATTAGCCATTGGTATCGGCTCAAAAAATTTCTGTCAGTGCACCCCTAGATTTAACTACTGTTCTCGGTAGTGGCAGATGACAGAACAAGGAGCAACCATCTCAAGTTGCAGCAAGGGAAGTTTAGGTATGATATTCGAAAGAATTTTCTCATGTGGAGGGTAGTAAAATATTGGAATAGGTTACCCAGAGATGTGGTGCAATCTCCATCACTAGAGGTTTTCAAGACCCAGCTAGACAAAGCTTTGGCTGGAACGATATAGTTGGAGATGGTCCTGCTTTGAGTAGAGAGTTGGACTAGATGACCTCCCGAGCTCCCTTCCACCCCTAATTTTCTATGATTCGCTGCCTGCCCCTTGCTTCAAAACAATTTGCTAAGCTTACCCATTTGTAAAGCTCTGAATGGCGGCTTAACAAATAAATTCCACTTACCTTTATCTCAGGCTCTTTCTCACATTCTTCTATATACAAATCATACAGCTTTTGAAACACAGATTTTCTGAAATTAAGATATTAACATAAAAGGCAGGTTAAATAAATGTTAAATAGATTTATGTTAAATAAAGAAAAAAAGATATATATAGAAAAATTACTACCTTCCACTGGATAAATATTTTCGTTTGGGAGGTCTCTGACGGGCACTTTCAATGATATACTGTACGAGAAAAACAAGAGTTTTTTTTTTACAGTGACTTGTACACTGAAGAGCCTTTCTAGCACTAAAACTAACTTAGAATATTACAGGAGTTTTTTTATACCGCACAGCTAACAAGAGGCTCAAAATATAGTTTTTCAAATGGACAAGATGTTCTTGTTACAAGACAGTCTAGGCAGGAGGTATTTACTTAGATACATTACTCCCTCTATTAGCTACAAGTTAAGAAGTAGCTTTCATTCCAACTGAAATGAAGTGCTACAGTTCATAATCACTTTCATGACTTGGATATGATTTCTGAACCAACAAACATATCTACGGTACTATGACTTCAAGTGAAATTTAAAAACTTTCTTTTAACCATTCTCATAACCAACTGCAAGTGCAGTAACTTGCAACTTTTACAGCTTAGTCCCTCTGAGTACAACCATCTTTATTTACTTTAAAAAAAGGTGGGGGGAGGACTTCTGTTTTTACTTCACCCATGTGAAGCTAATAATAAAACAAAAAGTAAGTGCAAACATACAGCAGCTTTAATTAATAGAAGTGACTGACTAAATACTGCCCTTGATTTGTAGGAGTTTCTTTAGGTAAAAAATAAAATCCGACATCTAGTGCCCTGGAAACTAAATATCAATCAACACGTAATTTTAACGAAGACAGGATCCTTTCCATTCCCACCCCCTATTTCTTTGTATATTCAAACTCAACACTGCATTTTATGTTGGTGCAGATGTGAAAACATGAACTGCTTGCTTTATTGGTTTTCATCTGGTATGATCTCAATAGCTACTCAAAGTTTTGTTACACATTCCTGTAGACTCTTAAGATTTGCAGCCATGTAAAGTCCATTAGTTCAAGGCATATAATTTTGCTTTAATAAAAGAGGAACTAAAGCCTGACCTGTTTTCATCATGGGGAACAATGGAAAAGTTGGTTTTGTGCCTGATTTCAAAACTGTAGTGGCAATTTTGCAACTCTAATGTCAGGTTTTATTTATAAAAGTGTACTTGTATACAAATAAATGCACAAAATACTGTAAACAGCCATTTCTTATGGGATAACATGTTGTTTTCATGGTAACAGACAACTTAACTGCTCCTTACCTCTGCACGGTCCAATGCCAGTTCTAAAGCTTGTTGCTGTAAGAATTAAAATAACTTCCTTAAACCATGTTAAATGACAAAGTTACCATTCAGAACTTTCACACAGATTCGGAACCTCATTTGACTTAATTAATAATAATCAATTCCACTACAGAACATTTCTACAGTAGTTTAGATTTAACTGATTTATGCAGTCCATTGGTAAAAGTATGTAAATAGAGTATGCAGAAGTTTTAATTCAAACCAACTAAATGTACCAAGTAGAAAAGAATATTCTCTGTTTTCACGCTGGCTGCTGATACTTAGAACATCTCCTCCTACACCACTACACGTTTCTGTCTACTGTATCACAGATGAGCAGTAACAAGGAGAGAGTGGGGCTGTTTGATTGCAACCAGGGGTGAAGCAGAAAGCCCTGTAAGGAAGAAAGCAATCAAAACAAAAGCCACTGCTATTGAAGAGAGGCTATTAAATAGATTATCATACCAAGATATGAAGACCACAAGATGAACACGAGCCTTCAGTGTGATGCTGCGGCTAGTAAAGTGAGCAAAATGCTGGCTTGCATCCATAGATGCTTCTCAAGCAAATCCCAGGACGTCATTCTCTTGTAATCGGCCTTGGTGAGGCCACAGCTGGAGTACTGCATCCAGTTTTGGGCTCCACAATTCAAAAAGGATTTGGAGAAGCTTCAGAGAGTCCAGAGAAGAGCCACGTGCATGATCAGAGGTCATAGTAAGGTCTGTCTTCCTGACAGGCTGAGAGCTATGGGGCTCTTTAGCCTGGAAAAGAGCAGGCTCAGGGGTGATCTGATGGCCACCTATAAGTTTATCGGGGTGACCACCAGTATCTGGGGGAACATTTGTTCACCAGAGTGCCCCAAGGGATGACAAGGTTGAACAGTTATAAACTCCTGCAAGACCAATTCAGGCTGGATAAAAGGAAGAATTTCTTTACTGTCTGAGCCCCCAAGGTCTGGAATAGCCTGCCATCAGAGGTGGTTCAAGCACCTACATTGAACACCTT